CCCCCCCAAGGAACTCTGTCTAGCATGTGCCACTGAAGGCATCTGTTGCTCTTCATCATAGACATCAAGCCACAATCATTGAATTTTTCATTGCATTTCCGTGTCAGGGATCCAGTAGTTACCCCCATTTCCATCATGAATCTCTAGTCGAATTTTCAAAACTTAAAGATTTATTAGGAGTAAATATGCCGGAGCTGCCTAGGTGTAGCTGACTCTGAGGCACATCCTTCATTGTCATCCTTGACCCTGGTTTTCCCCCCACCCCCTGGGTGTATCATAATTCATATTCTCCAATGGGACACATCCATAGCCCAGAGTCATCAATCGTGCTCTCCAGTTAAAATTTTGCATGGCAGAAACTTCAGTCACCTAGTTACTATCTTTGAAAACATTAATGGAATGCAAGTTGCTCACTGCTCCCCCCTCCCTTTCTGTTGGCAACTCTAAAAAGACCATAGAAATATTGTATGAGTTGACATCCTGTATGACTGGGTTGTTTGAACGAGCCACACAACTAACTGGCAGGATTCACAGATCGAGTGAAGTCAAAATGTAGAGTTCGCAAGCTACATATGATCTAGTCCTGCCCACATCCGGACTGGAAAAATCCAGGTGACCAGTATGGGGCGGCAGAGAACATGGTGTTCTAGAAGAGTAGAGCAGAAAGGGATCTTATGGACCATGTAGTCCAGGGTTGGTCAACCTTGGTGATTTTGAAGACCTGAGGACTTCAACTCCCAGAATTCCCCAACCAGCCGTGTCTCATAAACTTTCACAAAGTCAAACCAATCCAAAGGTTATCCCGGTTATTTGAAGGACCGTCTTTTCCCAGTTATGTCCACCCAGCCCACCAGAGAAGGGAGAAAGGGAATGTTACCAGCTCCCCCTCTTCTAAGGAGGTCCATCTAATGGGACCAAGAAGAAGGCCCTTCTTTATGGTGGCTCCTTCACGATGGAATATCATCCCTTTAAGTAGGAGGTGGGTTGCTACCGGTTCGCACCGGTTCAGGCAAACCGGCTGCTAATTTTACATCTGGTTGGGCCGAACCTGTAGTTCTGATGACTGGCTGGTCCCGCCCACCCCCTCCCCTC